CCGGGGTGGCGCGGCGCTCGCGCTCGCCGGAGGACCTCCGCCGAGGACCGGGTCCCAGCTTCAGCTGCCCGTCCCGGGCGCCCGCTGAGGTCCGGGTTCCCCGCCCCCGCGAGCGGGCTTCGGGGCCTGGCCCCGCCCCCGCCGGCCCCCGGCCGGGCCGCCCCGCCCTCCGGCCGCCGGTGCCAGCCCTCGGCCCGCGATTTCTAAGGCACTGGCCGCGCCGCCGGGCGATCCCTCCGGGCTCAAGTTGCAAGGGGGCGGACCCGGGCCGGAGGTGGAGTCTCCCGCCAATTGAAGCCTCGGCTATAAAGTGAGCTCCCTGCAGAGCCCAAGCCCAGATGCCTCGCCAAGCCACCCCGCGTTTGGTGGTGGGGGAAGGTAGAGGGTCCCAGGGGGCTCTGGGGGGCGCCGCCACCATGCTCCGCTCCCTGCTGCTTCACTCCCTGAGGCTCTGCGCCCAGACCGCCTCGTGCCTCGTGCTCTTCCCGCGCTTCCTCGGCACGGCCTTCATGCTCTGGCTGCTCGACTTCCTGTGCATCCGCAAGCATTTACTGGGCCGCCGACGCCGGGGTCAGCCCCAAACTGAAGCGGAGCTCAACAGCGATGGCGAGGAGATGCCCCCCGACGACCCCCCTATCTGCGTGTCCGACGACAACCGCCTGTGCACGCTGGCGTCGCTGAGGGCAGTGTGGCACGGCCAGAAGTTGGATTTCTTCAAGCAGGCACACGAAGGCGGTCCGGCGCCCAACTCCGAGGTGGTCCTGCCCGACGGCTTCCAGAACCAGCACATCCTCGACTACGCCCGAGGAAACCGCCCGCTGGTGCTCAATTTCGGCAGCTGCACCTGACCACCGTTCATGGCGCGTATGAGCGCCTTCCAGCGCCTGGTCACCAAGTATCAGCGCGACGTCGACTTCCTCATCATCTACATTGAGGAAGCGCACCCCTCGGACGGCTGGGTCACCACGGACTCTCCCTACAGCATCCCGCAACACCGCAGCCTGGAGGACCGGGTCAGCGCAGCACGGGTACTGCAGCAAGGTGCTCCCGAGTGCTCTCTCGTCCTCGACACCATGGCCAACTCTAGCAGCTCCGCCTACGGCGCCTACTTCGAGCGCCTCTATGTCATCCAGAGTGGCACCATTATGTACCAGGGCGGCCGTGGCCCTGATGGCTACCAGGTCTCCGAGCTGCGCACCTGGCTGGAGTGCTACGATGAGCAGCTGCATGGCCCTCAGACCCGTCGAGTGTAAACAACCAATGGACAATTGACTGAACTTGGCGGGCCATGCCTTCGAGCCTTCGGAGCCCACGTGCAAACGCACCCAAACAAAGGCAGGCTTGGTGAGGGCCCAGTGACACAGCTGTGCTGAGCCACGGATCTAAGGCTGAGTCTCTGCCCTCTCAGCCAAGCCACCTGAAGACTCTCCTCTGCCCACCCCACCCCCCAGGCTCTGCCTTTGTGGCTGCCCTTGCCTGTACTTGCCTGGCTCGCTCTAAATCCCCTTCTGAGTGCGGAGGCAGCGCCACCCTTGCCTGTGTGACCCTGGACTTGTCCTCGCAGAGGCCCCTGCCACGCGATCTCACACGCCCTCCTCAGAAGAGAATAGCCAGCGTGCCTTTAGCCAGGCGCATTGGCCCCGCGCGAAGAGACTGGCTACGCCCGCGCGCCCTGAGCGCAGCTGGGTTCCAGCAGCGCGAGCCGCTCGCCTTAGTTGCCTGGCACCCACACCTGTCCCGCATCGGGGAAGGGATGCCCTGCTGCTTTTGTGTCTATTTCTTGTCCCCGAGTTGGGGGAGGAGGTTTGGGGTGGGGAAGGGTAGGCAGGGTTATTTCCCCCCCTTTAGTTTGGGTGCTCACGAGCCCCGCTGCTGATGACGAACTGTCTCTAACTGGTCTTGACCACGAGCTGGTTCTGAATTGCAGGAGGCTCGCAGCAGCGCCTAAAACGAGAGGGGAAAGTGATCTGGGTTTCCATGTGGAAACCGCGTCAACGGGGTGGGAGAGGGAGGTTGGGGAAATGCTTCGGGACAGAGGAAAAGGGCTTGGGAGGCATTGGCGAGGTTCGCAGCGCCCCAGGGAGAAGGAAGGGGCTGGGGCTCCTGGCACACGGGGTTTGAGTGGTGGAGTCTGGGGGAGAGAGGTGGGGGGATAGCCTGGGAACCCCGAACGAGGGGTCTCCCAGGCAAAGCTGCCGACTGCGGGGCCAGAAGGCGGGGGGCCCCTGATCCGAAGGCCATTTAGTGAGTGTTTTACTGGAAATATTCCCTGTATATAAACTTCTTTTTACACTACAATAATAAAGGCTTGAAGTAAATTGCTTTCGGGTTGCCTTTGGTCCCTTTATTTTTTCTTCCCTCTGAATAGCGCTAGTAATTAAACACAAATCTCTCCCTCGCGTCCCCATAGTGACCCTGGGGGGAAGGGTGGAGAGAAGGAGCCTCTACGCCAGCGGGGGCGCTGGAGTGGAAGGAAGGAAAGGGGTCCGTGGAGGCGCACAGGCACGCACGCACCCACGGTGGGGAACGTGAGGTCGCGAGGAGAGCTAAGAAGTCGAGCCTGGCTGGGTCCTGGAAGGAGGCGGGAGAGGCAGCGGGGCCCGCACTTGTCACCGCGCGCGCGCACACACACGCACGCAGTTACAGCTGACCCTGCAGCCTCCCATCTAACTTCCCCCAGCGACAGTCGATGGGGGAAGGGGACGGTGTGGGGGCGTGCCGGGGGACTTTGGACCAGGTAGGGCTGGGCTCATGCCCACCGCGGGCACCTCTGCGCACCTAGATCCTCCCTAACCCCCTTCTAGCACCTCCCTACTCCCTCGCGCCCTTCTCGAACCTACAAGATCGTCTCCCCCACCCCCCAATCTCCGCCCGGCTGCTGGGGTCCCCGGGAGGCGCTACTAGAATAGCGCAAGGTGGCGGAGGGAGGGGCGACGGGGGAGGGAGAGCGGGCCTGCAGCGCCATCGCTCTAGCAGCAGCTCCTACTGCGGGGCGGGGGTGGCGCCGAGTGCGCCCCCTGCCCAGGACACACCCTCCTCTTGCCCCTCCGCCGCTTCCCCAAGTTCAAGCCAAACCTCGTCACCACCCGCAACGCGCTCGGGTCTGGGAAGCTGAGGAGAGCGTGGTGGCTGAGCTGAGGGAGACCAGAAAGAGAGGGATGGTGGTGGCCGGGACCGGGGCTGGGAGGGGAGGGGGTCGTGGCTTTGGGCACAGACCCCCGCCCGCTGCCCAGGCCAGGCGCTCTGTCGCAGTCCCCGCTCTCACTATCTCCCCTGTTGCTCCCCAGGTGAGGACGACTCCGGGAGAGCGAGATTAGCTCGGCCCCCCTCCCTCTGCTATTGACCCCTTGAGCAGAAAAGTGGGTCGGGGGAGACAGAGAAAGGAGCGCTGAGTCGGGAGTCCGTGGACCGGGAGTCGGGGTAGGCGAGCAGCCAAACCTCCCCGGCCAGAGAACCCAGGACCATCCCAGTCCCGGGGCGGGGGGGG